CGCAGTGGGAAGCCTGGATGCCTGGGTTCTCCCCAGCTCTGAGAGGGGAGTGGAGGCTGGGGAGCCCAGATGCCTTGGGTCTCTGCAGACCATAACATGTTCTAGGGAAGGGGTCAGCACCCCCAGCACAGGTATCAGAGTGTAGCACACAAAGGCATTTTGCTTGGCATGCGCACCTTGGGGAAGGGGGCTAGGGCTGTGCTGCCAAAACAAGGATCAGGCCCCTCACAGCTCCCCTGCTGTCTGCCCCTGGGGTGCCAGCATCTTACAAATGGAAGTCGTGGGTGTTTTTGGCACTGCCCAAAAATGTTGCCAAACCCTGCTCTAGGGGCTGCTATAGGGGCAGGAAAGAACTCCTAGCCCAGCCCCTTTCCCTCTCTCTGCAGACTCGGGGCCATATCTCCCCTCTACCCCCCCGGGTTCCAGTGACAAGGTGAGGATCGGCCCAGCACCACTATGGCCCAGGTGCTGCACATGGATGCTGGCTTCCCAGGTGGGCCTTGGCAGGACGCAGGAGTCCCAGCTTCAGTCTGCTCAAACTGCCCCCACCTCCCCTCTCCCACTCCCAGTCTCACTGCCTGTGCTGGGTGCCTGCATACTGGGGGCAGGGAACCAGCTGCTCTACCCCAGAGGTGCCTGCATTACATGCCCACTGGGCACCGTTGGTGGTGGGCTCAGTCGGATGCTTGAGTTCCCTCTAGCTCTGGGAGGGCAGTGGGGTCCAGTGGGTTGCAGCAGGGGGGACTGGGATCCGGGACACCTGAATTCTCCCACAGCTCTGGGAAGGCAATGAGGGTTGTTGGTTAGAGCAGGAAGGGATCCTGGCTGCCTGGGTTCTCTCTCAACTGTGTAAGGGCAGCAGGGCCTGGTGGGTCAGATCAGAAAGGAGACTGGGACCCTGGATGTCTGGTTTTTCTCCATCTCCTGAAGAGCTGTGGGGGTTTGGGTGTGGGGGCAGGACTCCAAGGCAGACTGTGCCTCAGTTTCCCCAAATTCCCAATCATCCTGGGGGAGGACAGACTCTCATCCCTCTCTCCACCCCACCAGGGAAGCCGGCACCCCCCTCCCCACCCTCCCGGGGGGGCCCAGCCCCAGCCCCTTCCCCACCCTACTCAGTGGAGACGCCATACGGCTACCGTCTGGACCTCGACTTCCTCAAGTATGTAGACGACATTGAGAAGGGCCACACGCTGCGGCGCCTGCCTGTGCGCCGGCGCCCACGCTGCGCCTCAGCCTCCTGGTGGCCCTCTACCGAGTCTCTCTGCTCCACTGACAGTCTAGCCTCAGCCCTGTCCTACGGGCCCCGGGATGCCCGGGTCGAGAGCACCCTGCTGGGTGCCCGGCGCAAGCTGGAGGGGCAGGCGGGGCCCAGCGGGCTCCGGAACTCCCGCCTCTCCCTGGCTGGCTCTGGGCTGTCCACACCTGCAACGCCCACGCCTGGCCACCTCCAGCACGTCAGGGAGCAGATGGCAGGTGCTTTGCGGCAGCTGCGGCAGCTGGAGGAGCAGGTGAAGCTCATTCCAGTGCTCCAGGTGAAGGTGGCTGTGCTCCAGGAGGAGAAGAGGCAGCTCAGCACCCGGCTCCAGAGCCGCCGGGGCTTGGGGCAGCCCGTGGGGGGCCCCGGGGAGCTCTACCTGGACCTACCTGAGGAGGAGATGGCAGCCAGAGGCACCCGGGAGCTGCGGTCTGTGGCTGTGGGCACAGAGGGGGGCACCAGCGGTCAGCGTAGCGTGGGTGTGGGTGTGCCAGAGCCGGAGATGATGGAGCTGGGGGCTGGAGCTGGGGAAGGAGACACGGTGCGGGCACTGTCGGCACGGGTGGCCTTGCTGGAGAGGCAGCTACAGAAGGCTCTGGGGGAGCTGCAAGATGCCCGGCAGCGGCTGGGGCAGGGGGCAGGTGCCAGGGGGCAGGCAGTGGGGCCTGAGGGACAGGTGCCAGGGGTAGGGGGGCAGGTGGAAGAAACCAGGAGAAAGGTGCTCGGGGTGGGAGAGCAGACACCAGGGCCTGGAGGGCAGAGGCTGGGGACACAGGGGCAGATGGCAGGGCCTGGGGGGCAGCTGGGAAGCACTGGAGGGCAGATGCAGGGGGAACAGGGGCAGGTGGGGAGTGCTGGGGACCAGGCACAGGGTGCAGGGGAGCGGGCGGAGGTGGTCAGGGTGGTCCAGGTGCCACGGGGCCCCGAGATCGCAGCCAGTACAGCCGCTGGCCCAGCTGCTCAGCCCCAGCATGCCCGTGGCCTCGAGCCCCGTGATGGCCCTGACCTGCTGGAGATGGCACTGCCCCGTCTGGTGCTCGCCCCGGCCCACGGCCATGCCCATGGCGCCCACAAGATCAGCATCATTGAGACAGGTAGGGGCCAGGTGCCGGCTGGGAGTTGGTACCCCACGCCTGGGTTTCCTCTGGGCTAGGAGGGGATTGTAGCCTCATACTCAGAGGGCTGGGATGCCAGGACACCTGAGTTTCCTGCAAGGCTGGGAGGGGATTGTAGCTGGTGCTCAGAAAGCTGGGTGCCTAGGGGAACCTGGGCAGCCCCCACTCAGCCCCATTTCCTCCTTCCCCCAGGTGCAGCTCAAGCTGAGGCCCGAGCCAGTGCCAGGACTATAGGCGAGGACCCAGAGCCCCCAGGGGGGTCAAGCTACCACCTTGGGGGCATCAACGGCGGGTGAGAGCAGCCTGGAGGGGTGGGTCTTTCTGGGACAAATGGGTCAGAGCAGGGGGTTCTGGGAGGCTGGTCACTGGAGTTCTCTCCAGCTCTGGGAGAGGAGCAGGGTCTGGGGCTGGGGTGTTAGAGCAGTGGCTGGGAGCCTGGATGTCTGGGTTCTCTCCTCACTCTAGGAGGGGAGGTGGGGGGTCTCAGGGCTTGGGTGGGGAAATGGAGTGGTCCGGACACCTGGGTTCTATCCTGGCTCCAGGAGGGCAGTGGGATTTAGAGGTTGGGGGAGCACTGGGAAGCCTGGATTCTCTTACAGCTGGGGAGTGGGACCTGAGGGGTTACAACTGGGGCATGAAAGGCTGGATGCCAAAGTTCTATCACTGCTCTGGGAGAGGATTGGGATCTGATACGGTGGAGAAAGGGGGGCTGGGAACACGGACACCTGGGTTTCCTCCTCACTCCCTGCTGCGGACCCAGGTACGAGTCGGCATCCTCGGACTCCAGCACAGCTGAGAACTCGGAGGCCGAGAGCACAGAGAGTGAGTACCACGAGGCCAGTGAGGGGCTCCCGGCAGGGGGGGCTGAGACCCCCAAGGCCACTGAGGAGGAAGCAGCAGCAGGGGCGGCGCTCAGCACCACACAAGGCAGCAATGATGGGTAATGCACTGGGGCAGGGGGAGTGGGCTAGTGGTTAGAACCAGGGGGCTGGGAGCCAGGATGCCTGGGTTCTCTCCTGACTCTGGGAGGAGAGTGAAGTCTTGAGGTATATGGCAGGCAGGGAGGTGGGGCTTAAACCTAGGATCGTGGATGCCTGGGTTTTATCTCCACTCTGGGAGGTGAATGGGGTCTCAGGGGGTGTTAGAGCCAGGACCTGGACACCTGGGTTCTTTCCTGGCTCTGGTGGGAGGAAGTGCTTGGCTGTGAGTTTGTCCAGGGTCTGGGCAGGGAAAACCCCTACTCTCCTTCCTCACCTCCCCATCTCTGCAGGCTGGGGCTTGGGCAGGAGCTGCTCTCAGCCTGCACCATCCTGAAGAGGTACCTGGAGACCCCCAATGCCTCCATGGATACCAAGACGGTAACCACAACCCTGGTGAGGGATGGGGGGAGGAAGGGGGTCATGAGAGACTTGAACCTGGGATCTGGGACCCCACAGAGCAGCACAGAGATAGCAGGAAGCTGCATGCAGCCCCATGGCCTTGGAGGAGCTCCTGCAGGAGCCTGGACTCCTGGATTCTGCTTAGGACAGGGGGAAGGGTCAGGGGAGACCTCGGGGTTTGCCCTGTAGCTGCAGACATTCCCTGGTACCAGGCTGCTGACTTTCAGGTCTGTTAGTCTGGAGATCACTTAGAGTAAGCCTAGTCCCTGAGTATTAGGTGTATTATGGTAGTACCCAGGTTGTGGAGGGGCAGGGATAGGTGTTGTGCTGCATGCAATTAGATACATTAGGGTAGTATCATGGAGGAAATGCCAGGTGCTGCTTAGACTCCAACCAGGATTGGGGCCCTAAGTGCTGCACATGATTCAGTGCATTATGGTAGCATGTCCCAGGCACTGCAGACCCTAGCTGGGAATGCCCCATGAGGCTTTGCGCTACACTCTTACTACAGGGGTGTAGGTTGTAGCCATGTTGGTCTAAGGACATAGGCAGACAAGTTTCTTTAGGTACATTAAGGGGGGGTTGGGAGTCAAGGGGGGCTGGCCGGGCTGGGGGGCAAGTGCTTAGGAGTGAGGAGCAGAGGCAGGGCACAGCCATACCACTGCCCCTCCCCTCCCAATCTTATGTCCCTCCCTACTCTCCTTTCCCCCCCTCCCTCTTCCCCCTCACAGGTGCTCTTTTTTTATACTGGAAATATGGTAGCCCCTAGTGGGGCTGTGGCCGGGGTGCCAGGTGCTGCACATTATTAGGTGTATTACAGTAGCTCATGCCAGGCGCTGAACATATGCTACTGTAATGCACCTAGTAAGTGCTGCTCAGACCGTGGTGCTTACAGGGCCCTGTGGTGCCAGGTGCTGCACATCGCTATCATAATGCATCTAATAAATGCCTGGCAGTGCACAGAGCTAGTTTGGGATGGGGCCCATGGTGCCAGGTGCTGGATATAACTACTGTAATTCCCCTAATAAGTGCCCAGTCTGCACAGCCTTGGCAGGGATGTGGCACCACACTGATTTTTTTTTCCCCTCATGCTACGCTGTCTCCACAGAGGGATGCCTATGGGGTGGTGCAGCAGGACTGGCTGGGGCTGGCGTGCGGACAGGCAGTTGAGGCCACAGCCGTGTCCCAGCGCCTGGACACTTACCGCGCCTTCTCACCTCGGGTCCTTGCCACTGCCCTCAACATGACTGATGGGCATGGGAACACAGCGCTGCACCATGCTGTCTCCTGCTCCAACTTCCCCCTGGTGCGGCGTCTCCTTGACACTGGTACTGCCTAGATGCCTGGGTTCCACCCCTGTGCTGGGAGGGGGCTGTGGGCTGTGGGTTGAAGCAGGAGGGGCCAGGAACCCAGATGCCTGCATTCTCTCTGGATCTGGAAGGGGAGTGAGGTTGGCTGAGAGCCAGGGGTTTTGGAAGCTTGGATGCCTGGTTTCTATCCCCATACTGGACTGGGAGTGGGGGCTGGGAAGTTACAGAAGGGGGCTGGGAGCCTGGACACCCAGGTTCTCTCCCTGCTCTTGGAGGTGTGTGTGGTTTGGGGGTGCATTACAGCTGGGAGACCAGATGCATGTGTTCCCATCCCTGCACTGGGAGGGGGCCTGGTGGGTCAGATCAGCAGGGACAGCAGCCAGGACTCCTGGCTTCTTTCCATGCTCTGGCCAGGGACATTGAGCTGGGGTGGAAATGGGGCTGGTCTCAGGGTTCACCCCCTTTCCCTGCTTCCTTGACTGTCTGTTCCTCCAGGCCTGTGCGATGTGGATAAGCCAAACCAGGCTGGCTACACGGCGCTGATGCTGACGGCACTGGCAGCTGCCTACCCTGATGCTGACCGTGCTACTGTCCTGCAGCTGCTCCGTGCCGGGAATGTGGATGCCCGTGCCACGCAGGTTGGGGCAGGGAAATAACCCCGGAGGGAGGCAGTGGCCAGGATCAGTGCCTGATTCCTGCCCCCCTTCCCAGGCGGGGCAGACGGCGCTGATGCTGGCTGTCAGCCATGGACGCCAGGATGTGGCCAGAGTGCTGCTGGCCTGTGGGGCCAACGTGAACCTGCAGGATGCTGATGGCTCCACAGCGCTGATGTGCGCGTGCGAGCATGGCCATGCTGCCATCGCCCACCTACTGCTGGCTGCCCCTGCCTGCCGCGTGGATCTGGCTGACAATGTAAGTGACCTGCCATGGGGGGAATCTTCTCCCACGGGTCTCCCTGGGGGACTTGGGATGGGGGGAGGTTCTTTTGGAGTTCAGAGACAGAAGGCCCCCAGGATTTGCGCATAGGCCATGTTAATTTGCATGTGATGTTCATTGCATATGGACAGTTTATTTGCATAATAGTGCCCCTGCTAGGGGGTGTTCTGTTGGCCTAGGCAATGCTTATTTGCATATGAAGTGTAACTTGCATATATAATTTGCAGAATAATTTTCCAGTAGGAGTGGCTTTGCATAAGCAATGTTCATTTGCATGTGTCACACATTGCATAGGTGTTGCTTATTTGCATGATGGCTGTCTTGCGAGGGGTAGTTTCATCCCCACCTGGGGCAGGTGCTGGGTTTGCATAGGTAATCCTCATTTGCATATGTAGGGTTTTTGCATGTTTCTCATTTGCATAATCATTTTCCAGCAGGGGTGACTTGGCCTAGGCATTGTTCATTTGCATATACAATTAATTTGCATATGTTTCCCTGCATAGGTGGGTCAGGTGCTGGGTTGACATAGGCGATGCCTATTTGCATATGTCCCTCATTTTCATACTAGTTCTCCAGCAGGGCTTATTTTTGCATAGGTGATGCTCATTTGCATATACAGTATCTTTTGTACACATATGATTGTTTGCATGCTGGTTCCCCTGAAAGGAGTAGTTTTGTCCCCATCTGGGGCAGGTGCTAGATTTGCATAGGCAATTTATATTTGCATATGGGCCACTCTTTGCATAGGTCATGCTCATTTGCATCTTAGTTTCCCTCCAGGGGTGGTGGCTTCCCCACCTGGGGCAGAGGCAGCTGCTGTGGGAAGGGGAGGGCAGGGGTGTCTGAGATGAAGGTATTAGGGGTCCTCTGGGGGAGGGGGGGCAGTAGGGGAGCCTAGGGCTGAGGATCCCTCGAGTCCCCACCCCCCCAGTCCCTACCATGGGCTCTGAACCAGCGTTCCTCCCAGGACGGTAGCACTGCCCTGTCCATAGCGCAGGAGGCCGGACAGACGGACATTGTCAACATGATCGAAGCCTGCCTTGGTGCTCCTGCCCTGGTGAGTGACCCCTTTCCCACCTCTGAGGAACATGGAACATGCACACGTATGTGCGCACACATGCATGCATGTGACAAGGGTTGCACATGCATGCCCATGACAGACGCTATACACACGATAGGTTTGCACAAGTGTGCACGCTCACACAACAGGCTTGCACATGCATGCCTGTAACATGGGCATACACACGCACACAACAGGCTTGCACACGCATCCTATGACATGGCATGCAAGCACATGTATGCTCACACAAGTGCACATGCTTGCCTCCTGCTTGGCACCAGAGAGACATTTTTCTCTGCCTGTGCTGGCAGGGTAGAATCTGGGCCCCCGCCCTGCTTGGGAAAGCTGCCTGGCCCTAGGCCCCTGGGTTCAAATCCCACCCCTTGCCTCAGTTTCCCTTCTTGTGTTCTGGTCAAACTAACCCTGACCTCTCCTGCCTAGGGGAACCCCCTGCCAGTGACCACTGAGACGGCAGTCACCACAGAGGCTCCTGGAGATACCCAGTAGCAGCTGGACCCATCATCAGCACCCCCTCCCCACTCCCCCCACCCTCTGCTGAGGGCAATATGCCCACAGGCCATAGGCAGCTTCAGATCTAGACCCATATGGGGAGTGACCCCCTGCTCCCAGCCCCTGCAAAGGAGGGGCGGGGGCTGGGAAGACTTGAGGGGTTTCCCATCCCTGCAGCCCCCAGAGCTCTGTAAAACAAAGAGGGGTGACCCCCTAGCTCTCCGTCCATGCCCCCTAGCCCTGCTCACGCTGTGCCTCAGTTTTTCCTCTTTGAAAGGAGGATGACAACAGCCTTCCGTGCCTTGGGACCAGTTGTGGGGGGAGGTGTCCCCCTCACCCCTTTGGTACAATTCCCTCCCTGGCTCTGTAGTTGTGAGCTCACTGCTTCCCCCTGGCCCTCCTCCCCCCAAACCCTCACATTGCCCTGTCTCCCCCTGCCCCGCCCCGCCTGCTGTCTATCTACTCGAGGAACCAGAGCAAGTACAGAATAAACCAAGGTATTGGAAACTGCATCAGTGGCTCTGCTCCTTTGGTTCTGCTGCTCCCAGAAGCCTGGGTTTCCTTTCTGAGTCAGGGAGGTGGAACAGCTTGCTGCACTGTACCGTGCCTCAGTTTCCCCTCTGGGTCTGCTTGGCTGTCTCTCACTGGGTGTCTGTGCAGCTCTGGGTACTGTGGGGCCCTGGTGTGTAGAGGTTGGGTTGTGGGGGTTGGCTGGTGTGGGATTTGGTCTGGTCTTGTCCTGTGGGGAGCATGTGAGTCAACCTCTGGCAACAGATGACACTGGCAGCAGCCCAGATATGGGAGTCCAGCCTTTAGAGTGGTCCTGAGACCCAGTCCCTATATATGGACCAAAGCTACAGCTCCTATAGCTGACTAAAGTCTCTGTAGCAGTCCTGAGACCTGGCCTCTATAATGAGACTAAAACCAAGGCCCTTATAAAAGCTCTGAGACCCAACTCTTATAGTGGGGCAAAAACAGGTCCCTATAGAAGCCCTAAGACCTGGCCCCTATTTTAAGGCCAAAGCCAGGCCCCCTGTAGCAGCCCTGAGATCCAGACCCTAAAGCTGGGTCAGAGTCAGGCCCCCAGTAGCAGCCCCAAGCTGCTCTCAAGCCCCAGTAAGAAGCCCTATGGGAAGAGGGGACATGGAGATCTCCCTTCCACCCCGGGAGGGTATCCTCTGCCCTGTCCCCAACCCGGTGCCTTCTAACTGCCACCCAGCACCTGTTAGAAACTGGGGCCATTGGCATCCATCCCCTCGGCCAGCACAGGACCCTCAACCGTGAGGAGGAGGTAACAGGAATGTGAGATCTGTGGGGGGAGAGTGCAAGCCATATGCTGGGGGGCATGGAGTCATGACAGCTCATGGCAGAGAAACGGGTATGGGGATGTGCCTGGGTCCCAAGACCCTCCCTCACCACAATTGCCTGATGGTCCCCAGCCTCCCCCCCTGCTCATGTGTCCAACTCAGAAGCCAGCATACCCGGGCTGTGGCTCTGCAGGATGTCTATGCAGCCTTGAAGAACACCATGATCTGCTTCAGTGCCATGATCCTGGTGAGTGCAGGGGCTGGGAGTGGGGGAGCTAGTGGCCTTGCCAACTCCCTGGGATAGGCACATACATACAGTGCCTGGCAGGGAGAGAACAGGGAGGGGGTGAGAATGTACCTCCCCTCTGGGGCTTTGTGATGGGCTGGGCTCCCTCTCTGAAGGGGCAGAGAAACAGGGCTGCTGGGGCATATGGCTCATTAGAGAGACAGATGCTGGATTGTGAGATAGTGGAGAGCTCAGGTGACCCTCCCTCATCCCTGTCCCAAGGCTGCAGGCATCACCTTGGTGCAGCTGGCTGTGTGGGTGAAGATGGGCAGCACACCTCCTTCATGCAGGTGCTGGGCACATCCTCCATCTACTTTGCCCAAAGCTGAGTCTGTGGCATCGCCACCAGCTGCCTCATTGTTCTGGGGCTGATGGAGTGCCTATAAGGAGAACCGCTGCCTGGTCATGATAGTAAGAGTCCCATGGGGTGGGCTGGGTGCACCAGGCCTTACGGCTGCCAGGGCTTCCAGCCTTGGGCCTTATGGCTACCTGGTCTGGCCTGGCCTGTCCTGCTGGTCCTTACGGTTGCCTGGGCTTTGAACTGTCTGGGCTGGGCTGGGCTGGGCTGGGCTGGGCTGGGCTGGGCTGGGCTGGCCAGTCCCTGCAGCTGCCTGGGGCGCTCTGCAGGCTTTAGACCCTGGCAGTCCAGGGCTCCTGGGACCCCCAGTACCATTGGTGACACATGAGGGAGCAGGGCTGGTTTGCACCCCCCCACTTCTAGAGGGGTCTGCAGCTTCTTCTCTGTCCCCCTAGCTGGATCAAGGACACCTGGCTCCTACCCCATAAATCAGGGAAGCCAGATCCCTGCCACCACTCTTTTCCACCCCCCCCCCCCCCC